AATTTAAATGAAAGTACCATGATAGAAAAAACTTCATTGGATTCGACAATAAGATTAGCTTAAAGTGCAAATAAACCTAACACTGCAAAATAATTGTTCATATAAATAATACAAAAGATAAATATGTTATCGAATCACAATATACAATTTCGTGATATAACATTATATTCGCTGAAAAATTATTTTAGTCCAAAGTGCTAGTAATGTTAATCGCTCGATTCCGAGTTGATGAATATCTTTATGCCACCTCTACTCTTAACTCTCGACATTGAGACGTATAATTGTCCATGTTGCCTCTAATACTAATAATAATTCCAATACAAATACCAATATCGATACCGATACGCATAACGATACCGATAACGATACCAATACCGATAGCGATGCCGACACCGATACCGATACCAATGCCAAGACGATACCGATACTAATATTAATATTAATACTAATACTTATATTAATGCTAATGCTAATAATAATACTAATGCTAATCATAATACTAATAGTAATACTGATACTAATTCTTATACTTATAGTTATACTGATAATAATATAATATAATAATATAATACTAATATTAATGGTTAATACTAATATTAATGCTAATACTAATGTTAATGCTAATATTAATACTAATACTAATACTAATACTAATATATATACTAATATAATACTATTACTAATACTTATAATTATAGTTAAGTATATAATGATAATAATATAATACTAACACAATAAATAATATGTTAAATTTACATATTAGTATATTATAATTAATTTACATACTTAAACAATGATTATCAAAAATAGGAATTGATTCCATTCAGATATGGCAAAACATAATAAATAATCATCTAAATATATATTTCAATCATTAACAAATCATTCAACTTGATACAAATTACGCTTAAATACAGTTTGCACCCCTAAAGTATAGGGCTAGTAACACTTACTCCCTTAAAGTTACACATGTAACACCTACCACCTCCATAATGAATTTGATAGACTTTGACTTTGATAATGCGGAATTTTTATTCCATAAATAATACCCTTCAAATCATTATATAAATAATGAATATGCAGCAATAATTTTTTTAAACACCCTTTCAAGATATATCTCAATTTTATTATTTCAATATATAATTTTACTAACGAAAAAGAATGAATTTTGGTTTCATTTTTTTTACTTTATGTTCATTGTTATTTAAAGAAAGTTTAGTAATTACTCGAAATTTAATTTTAATTTTATAATTGATCTTGTTATATTAAATAATGTATTACTCTAACATATTAATTATTATTTTTCTCATGAATGTTTAACAAATTTTATTACTTTTCAGAAAATTAATTGATATTTTTATTTATATTAGGGTCACACAGTAATTAAAATGTGGAGGTACATCATAAATCAAAATAATATTTTTAATAATTTTTTTATTACATAATTAAATTAGTTTTTTTGAAAGATTGTTGAAAACTATTATTCCATATTCATCTTTTCATAATGGCTAGAAGATATTTTGGGAAGAAAAATGACATATCATTCAAAGTTAAAGTCTTAGCATTAAATTCACTAATGGAGAGGGTAAGTGTAATATTTGTAACATTAAAGGGTAAGATTTAATACCCTTATACTTTAAGGGTGCAAACTGTATTTAATCTATATATTAATAGGGCTTAATTCCACGTTGCATCTCTTAAAAGTTGCATTTTGGCACTTTGTATCCTTGAAAAAAATCAATAGAATATGCCCCATCAAAGTACAATAAATCATTCACAATTCACCTCGTATCAATTTTAAAAAAAAATATTGAGGTGAATTTCATATTTTTAGTTGTACTTCTACAAAGATGCAAATTGTCAAATTAAATTTTTTATTTTACTGAATCTTTCAACCCAAAAATTTCAACCCAAAAATTTCATAGATATATGTCATCTTGAAGTAATAATATTTTCTTATTTTTCTGTTAAAAAAAAAAGTGCAAAAAATTGTAAAATATCTCGTTGAAACTTGAAACTTTTATTTTCCCACAAAAAAATTGATGTTACAAATATTTTGTCACCAAATTATTTGTCTTTTACCGAAACTGGTAAAAAGAAATTCGTAGTGTTTCTTGTATATGAGAAACTATATTTTTCTACTTATCCTGTGATAGATATATCTTAAACGTTACTCGTATTTTAAACCATGAAAAGAAATAATACTCAAAAGAAAAAAATATTCCCGTTCACTTAAGAAAGGAAAACCAACATGGGATGTACTCAATCAGAGTATTTTTTAAATATTTCAAAATATTTATCATTGCGGAGCAAAGATGCATCACCTTAAAATTTTTAGTTTCCGTTCGCCATTTTCTGAAAAATTACTGAAAATTGATTTTTTTTTATATAAAAAATTCACCAAATATTTTCACCAACTGCAATAAATGTCCTACAATTGAATTGTTTGGTGATAAAAGTTTATGAGAATTCTTTCTTTCTTTTTGTGAGAAAATATAGTTTAAGGAGACATTTTATTTTATTTTTTTGCGTTTTTCACTTGAAATTAAAATAATATTTTAGTATATTCTGCCTAAACAAAATCACCAAAAAGATGAAAAATCACTCATAACTTCTAAAAAATAATTACGGAGTTATACCTTGTAAACACGGAATTAATTAATAGGCGAACATAATTATCTGATTCAAGATGCACAACGTTGAACACAAAAAAATTAATCTTGTTGGGCATGTGCAATGCCTGTAAACAAAGATGAAATTGTAGATTCAGACAATCTCAACAAATTTTACTGTAGCTAGGGCATCGAATTCATCAAGCTTGGCTTTGTAACTTCATATAGAAATGAAAATCGGAGGACAGACTACAATTGATCCGACCACGCCCACCATATGGTAACATGTAGACTGCACACATGCAAACCCAATAAATAAATCAAGAAAATATAAATATTTGAATACTTGTAAGTAAAAGAAATGGATTAAAATTCGCCGTGGACTGATAATATAAATTGTGAAAGTTAAAAAGATAAATATCATTTGTGAAAGTAAAGAAGATTTTTTTTTGAAATATATATATATATATATATATATATATATATATATATATATATATATATATATGAAGTTAAAGAAGATGGAATCAATATTTATCAAGTAAAAGGGTGTCCTAACTAAGATTCAAGACATATTTGACACTGAAAACTAAGATTACAACCGGCTTCTAAAGCCAATACCAATTTCACCGCATAAAATCCACAAAAAACAAATGCAAATTAACCCTTTTCCTAGATAAATTGCGTAAGAATTTTGTTTTCAATCGACATTAAAAAAAAAATTAAAATGAAAAAAAGATAAAAATATAAAAGTATAAAAACATATAAATTAAACTAATGAATACCAACATTGTGCACTTTGTAATAGAATGGTGGTGTAGTGAGAAGTGAAATGAAGGTTGAGGGATTTAAATAGTATTGAGCATGAATCATATTTTATGGAGAATATAAAAATTCAAAATATTTTTATATTAGTAAAATAAATCGAATCACACGAATAAAGGAAACAAACCAAAAAATAAGACAATAAATGAAGAAAACAAATCGTGCATTGTATATATGGATAATAATCTTGATTAATGGTTGTGATATGCAATTAAAAAAATAGTATGTAGGATATATATATATATATATATATATATATATATATATATATATATATATATATATATATATATATATATATATATATATATATATATATATATATATATATATATATATATATATATATATATATATATATATATATATATATATATATATATATATATATATATATATATATATATATATATATATATATATATATATATATATATATATATATATATATATATATATATATATATATATATATATGTGTGTGTGTGTATATCTATATATTTCTATATGTGTTTATATATATATATATATATATATATACATAAATG